TGAGGATCTCAACTTGGGCTGGAAAACCTGTGAGATGTTTAATTATCAATTAAGTTCCATAAAGAGCCAGAAGCCGAGTTGTGGCTCAAGTGGTAAAGCACTAGCCTTGAGCAAAAAAAAAAAAAAAAAAGCTCAGGGACAGCTCCTAAACTGGACTGGCACAAAAAAATAAAATTTAAAAACTGTTAATCATACCAATATTTTGTTCTTACAAAGCAAATACTAGAAACATTTAGCTAATAAAAATTTAAACACTCCACCAATCTCACTGGGATTTTTTAAAAAAACATAGTTTCAATACAAGAGCTATGTACAAGATAGGACACAAAGGAGAGTGGCCAAAGAAAAAGATTAAATATATCAAAAAAGGTTAAACATAACAGTGGATCAAGAAAATGTGGTATATATACACAATGGAATTCTATGCCTCCATCAGAAAGAATGACATCGCCCCGTTTGTTAGGAAATGGAAAGACTTGGAAAAAATTATATTAAGTGAAGTAAGCCAGGCCCAAAGAAATATAGGCCCCATGGTTTCCTTTATTTGCAATAACTAGTATATGTCTGAGTCAAATAGAAAGGGTCAGATAAGTTGATGTTAGGGAAATGAACCCTAAGATATGTATTCAAATGTTTTTTTCTTTCATGCGATTGTTTCTACCACATTTATAAGATGATTTCTTTGTTGCTTTGTATGTCCCTCCCCCATGGTATAACCCCTGCTTTCACTGTATTTGATGTTGGTATAATTTGTGGATGGAAAGGGAAAAAACAAATCGTTTAAACAGGGATACAGGTGGACCCTTTGCAACAATGAGATGTACAAGTCGTTATGTCGAAAACGAACTTTACAGCTTTGGTGGGGGGGAGGAGGGTTAGGTGGGGGGGGGGGGGGAGGATGAAATGGGAAGGGGAAACAAAGGAGGAGGCTACAATGCTTGATAAGAAATGTACTCATTATCTTGCCCATATAATTATAACCCCTCTGTACAATATTTTCACAATATAAAAAAGAAAAAGAAAAAAAAAGAGATGAAGAACACGTATTTACATACCTGACTTTGTTACTCAACAGACCCAAACCTGCATCTATATTTGATAGTGTACAGAAGTGCTACAGGAATTGTGCGCAGTAACATGCTTACATGAAAGAAGTAGAAAACAAAAGCACAGCCCATTCTGAAAGCACACAGAGCTACACCATAAATTTGACCATGGTCCACATCCTTTATGACCCTGAGCCCGGTTAGGCGAACTGTCTAGCATGGCTCTTGGTGCACACCGTTTTAGTTGGATTTGAACATGGAACACTATTTTGTCATCGATGATCAAGACAAGGGGCAGGATAACACACAGCTTACTGGATCCATGAGCGCAGACTCCAATCTCCTAGATGGTAGGCGGAGTGGCATCGAACACCAGTGTAGGTTAAGATCCTCCCGACGTCCTCCTTGTGCTCAATCCTGCACCCATCCGTCTGCTCCTCCCAACCTTGCAAGTCAGGTTCAAGGATTTTTTTCTATTCTACAAATGGGAAGCTGATCAATTGTGTGGACCGTTTCCCATGATCCCAGGCTCTCCCCAGTTCCTAGCAGGGGACCCCCCCGCACTAGGCTCTTCTTACAGGACTCATCACCAAACTGGTCTCTCCTTCCAAGATGACCTGTGTGTGGCTGAGGTCTACTCTCTCCTCGTAAGAAAAATGCAGGAGCCAGAAAACACTTAGGCACGAAGGGAAATGGAGTAAATTCCACCAACAGAAAACAGAACTATTTAGTTCAGAATCCTTTTGATGTTCCTCCCCATCGCTGGGCCTTGGCTGCACCAGGCAAGGCCATTTCCTGGTCCCCCTTTCAGCCAGCTGTGCCAGGTGACTAGCTCTGCCATTGAATGGGCAACTGGAAGGGATGGAATAAAGTCCACTTACCCGCTTAAAAACAAACACCTGGGGGGCGCCGGCGGCTCACACCTGTAATCCTAGCTACTTGGGAATCTGAGATGTGAGGATCAAGGTGAGAAGCGCTACACCCATCTCCAATGGACCACCAAGAACACAGAAGTGGAGCTGTGGCTCACGAGGTCGAATGCTAGACTTAAGGGGTAAAAAAATCCCCTTGTTCCCTCTGAAGGGAAGTGGAAGTGAAGGTAAGCATAAAGCTGCACTGCTGCCTGGGCCGACACAGAACACCGTGCAGCTGACTCTCTGTCTTAGCAACGGAACCTTTACCCTCATATTAGAAAAGCAGGGAAGGTGAACAGAAAAGGTAAACACCACACTAATAAGCTATCAGAATCTGCAGTACAGAAACCTACTTCATTATACAAGGGAGGGAATGATAGAGAAATCAGCTCTAATAATTAGGGGGTTGCCATTTGCTTAATGAGAAGGAAAAATATTTAACACACTCTGTCCACAAACAAATATCTTCTTGGCAAAAAAAAGCAAACAAAACGATGTGTATTAAACACATAAAAACAAGAAGGGCCTGATGACAAACTATTAAGACAAACTGCCAACTACTCACTACATCCTAAGAAAACATAAGACATAAGAACAGAAAAAAGATCCGTGCATACTATTTTTAAAACAGCTAGGAAAACAGGCTTAACATTGTAAGCCATTCTTTCCCAAAATATAACCATAAATAACTGATATATAAAGAATGAGTCATGTAACCTTTTTTCCAGGAAGAAAACACGCTCGGTAACTTATTAAAAGCCTGGGGTTACAGATTTCATCTAATCAAATTAGTAAAAGCTTGCTCACAAAGATAAAGAGCAAAGACTAATGCTGGCTGGCAATAGCTGGAGCTGCGGGGACACAGCCCCACCAAGATGAGGGGCTGAGCACTGCCCGGCTGGGGAAGTGAATTAATAGATCAAATAGGTATTAATAAAGACAAATCCGGCTAATGTTTCACCTTGCTTTTATAGGGTAATGAACTCTATAGCTTTCTGGGCATTGTAAATCATAACACAAAACTCAAATTGCCTACATTTGTGTGTGTGTGTGTGTGTGTTGGTACTGGGGCTTCAATTCAGGGCTTTTTTGCCCAAGGCTGGTATGCTACCACTTGAGCCTCACTTCCAAATTGGGCTTTTCGGTGGCAGTAAGAGTCTCAGATTTGTCTTCCTGGCTGGCTTTGAATGGCGATCATCAGATCTCAGCCTTCTGAGTAGCTAGGATTTCAGGTCTGAGCCACCAGTGCCCGCATACCTACTTTTCTTAAAACACAAAGCTGGGCACTGGTGGCTCATGCCTGTAATCTTAGCTACTCTGGAAGCTGAGATCTGAGGATCACAGTTTGGTGCCAGCCAGAGCAGTCAAGTCCGTAGACTCTTATCTCCAATTAACCACAAAAAGCCTTAAGTGGAGCTCTGTTTCAAGTAGAACACTAGTCTTCAGCGCTTGAGCCCCAGGCCAAGTTCAAGCCCCAGGATGGGCAAACACAAACAAGCAAATATCAAAGCAGTGAAGAGAAAGGAGCGAGACTTGAAAATCTAGGGCAGTGCTAAGGAAAAGACATAATCAACCTTCCAAAAGTCACCAGGAATAGGTAGAGGTTTAACTGTAACCCTGAATCACAAGAACCTCCTAACAAAGAATGAGCCTTGATGAAGAAGGCTTAGCTTACAAAATTAAATCATTATTAATATGCGTCTGCTTATCCAGTGTTGAGCTTCTATTAACCCAGAGGTGCTTCGTGGACTCAATCAAATATCCAAGTAAGGAATGCGTTTATAACCCTCCTCCAGCACACGTTTAGCTCATACGATCTATTCATGACCCAGAACGTTGACGAACAAAACAGACAGACCATAAAAGAGGAAAAGGAGAGTCACTTATTGGTACTAAAGCCTTTACTGTAATAAACCAAATATATTTACAATTTATACAAATGTTTAACCTTCAACAAAAATACAAAACAAAACAAAAAACATTTCACAAGATGCAAAACCAGGAAGCGAGTTCACTGGAGACACCAGGGCTCTACAAAGGACGTCAGGCGGGGGGGCGGTGGATTCACACTGGGCCAGGATGAGCGACAGATCCCCGCGAGAGAGGGCAGCGGTGCTGGCAGCCAGAGCTGGCAGCCACCCTGGGGCTCTGTCCATGTGGCCTCCGCTGCACCGGTCCAGGCGGGCAGACGGGCGGCGTCTGCTGGTAGACCTACTACTGCCTCCTCTTTGTACGCTCCAAGTCGTTTTGTGTCAAGGTTTGGAAACAGGTTTGTTGGGCTTTTCTTTGTTGTTGTTGTTTTTCCTCGGTTTTTCTTTTTCTTTAAAGTTACAATGCCTCTATTTCTACAGATTCAAACGTTTTGGCCCAATTCAACTCTAACTGTTAAATCACACCGGTAGTCAGTAGATGACCTCATAGACGGTGGCCTTCTTGTCCCCGGAGCCGGTGACGATGTATTTGTCATCCACAGAGATGTCGCAGCTAAGCACCGACGAGGACTCTTTGGACTGGAAGAGAAACCCGCGGACTCGTGTTTCACGTGCAACAGGGGTGCTCAGGGGTCTGGGGCAGCTCTGCAAGGGGCTTCCCGGCCATCCCCGGCGCTTACCCACCTGGAAGATGCTGGCCCCGTAGGGGGTCCGCCACGCGTTGAGAAGGTTGTCTTTTCCAGTGCTCACAAACCACTTCCCTGCAATGAACCACGGAGGGGCGTGTTACCAAGGGGACTGCCTGCTGTGCACTCACAAACGCAGCTCTCTGAGTATGCCTCTGCTTCTGGGTGTGTGCCTGGTCATGCGCTTGAACTCAGGGCCTGGGGGCCGTAGCAGAGCTTTTTGGTCAAGGCTGGCGCTCTACCACTTTGAGCTAACGTTCCACTTTTGGCTTTCTGGTGGTTAATTGGCGATAGATTCTCATGAACTCTCCTGCCCAGGCTGGCTTCGAAACCACAATCCTCAGCTCTCAGCCTCTCGAGTAGCTAGGATGACAGGTGTGAGCCACTGGCGCTCAGCGGAGAATGCCAGTACCGGGGCTTGAACTCACAGCCTCATGCTCTCACTTGGCTTTTTCACCACTTGAGCCACACCTCTACTTCTCCTTTTGGTAGTGGTTAACTAGAGATTAAAACTCTTCTTCCTAGGCTGGCTTTGAACCACAGTTCTCAAATCCTAGCTTCCTGAGTATGTAGGATGGGAGGTACAAGTCACCAGTGCTCAACTTCAAATATAGCATGTTTTTGCTTGTGTGTGTGTGTGTGTGTGTGTGTGTGTGTGTGTGTGTATGCTGGGCCTGGGCCTGAATTCAAGGCCTGGGTTCTGTTCCTAAGAATTATTGCTCAAGGCTAACACTCTATTCCTTGACACTTCTGATTTTTAGTGGTTAATTGGAGATGAGAGTCTTAGTAACTGACTTTCCTGCCCAGGCTGGATTTGAACCCTAACTTCAGTCTCTTGAGTAGCTGGGAATACAGTTTTGAGCCAGATACCCAGCCATACACAAATGTTTTTACTGCATGAACTACCATACCCAAAGAGCTGATTGATGACCTGAGCCAAGATTTTAAATCTAGAATCCTCTAGGTGATCCCAGATATAATCAAAGAGGTATGAGCCTCATGAGTCACGGGATCCTTGCCTTAAAACAGCATTTCTTAACACACTGGGGCCTCCAAGACCTAATCAATTAAATTGCTCCACCACCGCTAGTCTCCTCCTAAGAAGATTAGCTTAGAGAGCATTAAGGTTTGAACTTCTATAAAATGCCACTTGTGTCTGATGGCACGGAGCATGTGCTCTGCGAGTGTGCGCTGCCCTTCCAGCCACCTACTCACACACCCAGGGAACAAATGTAAGCCGCCTACAGCGCGCGCGTGCATACACACACACACACACACACGCGCGCGCACACACACACACACACACGGACGCGTCTGCCTGCGCAGCTCTCCTGGCCGCCTGCGACGGGAGCGAGTCTGTGCGTATCTCCGCATCGAACCCATTACCGCTCCCTCCTGTCTGCCCTGTCTTCTGAAAACGCCCACCACCCCTCTTCAGGGTGGGGCCACGGCCTCACACCCCACAAACAAACGTGTGTGTCCAAACCTCGTGTCAGGCAGCGTCATCGCCTGCTGGCTTTTCTCAAATTAGCAAAGCAGACTGAATCAGGCTTTACTAAAGGGCTCTGGGGGACGTGCTAAAACAAGAGAAACGTGGCAGGCAGCTGCTCAGGGAACATCCCCCAGATAGGATCTCTAACCATATTTTGTGTCAGAAGTATTTCCCACCAGGCCTCCGTCTCCCTTCGGTTGAACTCACCACAATAAGCAAATTTCAGGGAGAGCACACAGCTCTCGTGGAGATGCAGCTGGTACTTGTCCGGTTTATTCACATGCAGAACCTCCACGTTGCTGCTCTCCATGCCCACGGCCAGCCACTCTCCGGTTGGGCAGTACCCCAGAGAGAAGATCTGTAAGAAACAGAACCCCAACACTCAGTATTTTGCTCAAGGAATTAGGGACCAAAGGGCAAGAAGAAGCTGGGGGTAGGCAGATGACAAAGAGGAGGGGCAGCAATCGTCTGGTCCAGACCAAGAGTCCAAACAGAGGAGGCACGAGTGAAAGAGAAAAACACCCTGTGGATGCGGCCGGGTGAAGGCAGTGCTCTGAAGGATACGGATATCTGCCGGCCGGGCAAGAGGCTGACGCCTGTCATCCCAGCTACGCAGAGACTGAGACCCGAGGGACTCCATTTCCAAAAATAACCAGCAAAACGCTGGCTGGAGGGTGGCTGGAGCGGCAGAGGGCCGGCCGGCAGGGGAGGCTCCACGTCAAACCCAAGGGCAAGCAAAACAGAACAAAACAAAAAAGGAAGTAAAAGCAAAAGATGCGTGCTCCTGTGTTTCAAAGGAGAGCTTATCTGAAACACTGGTAGATGAAATGGCATCGTATCTAGGACTTACTTTAAAGTGACTTGGTTTCTGGGTAGAGATAATGGAAATGAAAGCAACAACTACACTGCTGGGTGCCATGGCTCACGTCTGTCATCTTAGGCAGAGGTCCAGGGCTCGGGGTTCAAGGCCAGCCCAGGCATCCGGCCAGCGTGACGCCACCTTAACAGATGGATAGGTGTGTGGTGCATACCCGGCGTCCTCAGCCGTGGGGCAGCACAGCGGCCGGGTGCGGTGGCACAGGCCCGTCACGCCAGCACCACCGCCTCGGCTGACCTGGACAGGAAGTGAGGCCCTCGCTTGAAGACAGCACTGCAATGAGCAACCGGGGACACGGCTCAAGGGGCGGAGCGCTTGCTCAGCAAGAAAGAGGCCCTGTTCAATCCCCAGTGCCTGCCTCCCTGTGGGACGATAATGCAGCGGCAGGACAGTAACCACTAGCACTGAACGACAGCCATGTCTTCTGCATCCCTAGAGACTTGAGAGCTTCCGTTCCAAGCCGGGCGCTGGTGGCCAACACCAGTTTCTCAAAAGGCTGAGACCTGTAGGATTGTGTCTTAAAGCTAGCCAGAGACTTTATCTCTCCAATTAGCAAAAGGCTAGACCACAGATGTGGCTTAGGAGTCAGAGTACCAGCCATGAGCAAGAAAAGCTGAGCCTGAGCCCTGGTGCTGGTGAGCAAAGCAAAATACAAACAAGACAGCTTCCATTCTTTTTTGGTTTTTTGGTGTTTTGTTTTTTTGCTGTGGTTGTTTTTTTTTTTAAGGAGAGGATCAAAACTAATATCCTACATATTAGGAAAGGGCAGAACAAGAAAGACTATGAATAACACTGGGGACATAGAACTTATTAGCCAGTAATTTGTTTTGTCTGTGTCCTATTTTTGACCTGACATATTTAAAAAAGTATTGCCATTCCCCAAACAAGTATTGGTCCAGACACAGGACATCCAACACTTCATACTCCACAAGTCCTAATCCAGACACAGGACATCCAACCTTCACACTCCACAAGTCCTGATCAACACACAGGACATCCAGCACTTCACACTCCACAAGTCCTGATCAAGACACAGGACATCCAACACTTCACACTCCACAAGTCCTGATCAAGACACAGGACATCCAACACTTCACACTCCACAAGTCCTCATCCGATCATACAACATCCAAGTCTTCACACTCCACAAGTCCTGATCCAGACACAGGACATCCAACACTTCACACTCCACAAGTCCTGATCAAGACACAGGACATCCAGCACTTCACACTCCACAAGTCCTGATCCAGACACAGGACATCCAACACTTCACACTCCACAAGTCCTGATCCAGACACAGGACATCCAACCTTCACACTCCACAAGTCCTAATCCAGACATAGGACATCCAGCACTTCACACTCCACAAGTCCTGATCCAGACACAGGACATCCAAGTCTTCACACTCCACAAGTCCTGATCCAGACATAGGACATCCAGCACTTCACACTCCACAAGTCCTGATCCGATCATACAACATCCAAGTCTTCACACTCCACAAGTCCTGATCCAGACATAGGACATCCAACCTTCACACTCCACAAGTTTGGATTATTTCAAACCTCTGTAGATCTAGTTAGCCATGAGTCCATTTTTTAAGAGACGGGTAATAAAATGGGCACCCACTGAGATACAGATGGATTTTTTAAAGCTCTGTGAGGCAGAGGAAATGAGTTCTAGAGTTGTGGTGATTTTTCTCTACCTGGCACATCCTTCCAGCTCCATTTAAACAGGAATCAAATGATCATTTCTGACTCCATATCAGAACTGGTACAATAGACTAAAGAAAAACTGAAGAAAAATTTGTCTGTTTTTCACTAAATGAATTCCAAGGTACCTTAGCCTAAATGGTTTCAGAAACTACTTGAAAAGTTTTGGGGGAGTGGGGAATATGGAGTGTGTGTGTGTGTGTGTGTATGTTTAAATTATCTCAAACTGAATCCTGTCACGTCTGTCCACACAGCACAAGGCTGGGCTGGGAAGGATGGTGCACGCATGTGTACGCGCACATGCACACGCACACGCAGACCCCCATGCGGGCTCCAGGACGGGTGGGAGCAGGCAGTCACCTGGGAGGTGAAGTCGTGCTGCTGCAGCTGCCGACCCTCGCGCAGGTCCCAGGACCGGACCGTGTTGTCCAAACCCCCCGTCCAGAGCTTGGTGCCATCGTTGGAAATGTCAATGCAGCTGGCGCCATCTGTGTGGCCCTGAAATTGCCTGATAAAACAAACCAGATTGAATAATGATTTCCTGCCAGAGCTCAAGGTAAATACTGTTGTGTTGTGTGCTTTGGACTCGCGGCGTGCTATCTCCTCAGCGTGCTGACGTTACAGATCAAGCTAACCTTCCCCACAGCGGACAGGAAGCCACACCTGCAGACTCCGTGTCTTTCTTTTCTTTTCTTTTTGTCATCCAAAGGCTAAAAAAAAAAATCCCATTGGAAGTCACTAGCCAGAAGTCAAATATGGTACTATAACTGCTTGATAAATGTATCCATCTCCTGCCAGGTCTGGAAAATGTTTAAAAGAGTTAAAAGCAACAACAACATTAAAAAAAAAAACAATGGCTGGGTGCATGTGGCTCACCCCTGTAATCCTAGTACTCAGGAGGTTGAGACCTGAGGATCGTGGTCAAAGCCAGCTCAAGGAGAAAAGTCCACGAGACTCTTAGATAACCACCAGAAAACGGAAAGTGGAGCTTTGGCTCAAAGTGGTAGAGCACTGCCTTGAGCAAAATAACTCAGAGGTAGTGCCCAGGCCCGAGTTCAAGCCCCAAAGTGACAAAAACCTCATAAAACCTCCAGTATATTCTTTAAGGGAAAGATAAAGGTCTGTTCAGCCAGAAGGACACACTGCAGGGATGAGGGACAGAAGCATTCTCGTTCCAGAAGGGAGTCACAGGGTGAAGCCACCCATGCCCACCCAGCGTGAGCTCACCCGTTTCTGAGTAAGAAAGATCCCAGCACTGGGAAATGGGCCCCCAGAGGCCAAGGTCACGGCAGTACCCTGACCTCAGAGCTGCTGGCAGGGACCAAGGCCACAGCTGAGCCTGAGCCCTGGACCGACCCCCAGGAGGGCAGTGGCGCTCCCCAAGCACCCGCGGTCGGTGCCGTGGGTGCCGTGGGGGCCGGGGGCAGTGCGGGGAGACGTCAGTGGGTCTCAGCGAGGAGCCACTTGGGACGCGCAGGCGAGAGGGAGGCGTCCGCCGCATCACCCCACAGAAGCGGCTTCACATTGGTCAGCGGCCCTCCTCGGAGCCACAGGTAAAGCCCCTTGAAAACAGAACAACTTCCTGTGCGCCAGGCCCCGTCCCGGCCTCCCCCTGGCTCTGTCGCCACCAGTCTGGCCTGGACAGACTTTCCTGCCATCACCCGCACCCCCTCTGCCTGCTGCCCCTTCCAACGCCTCCAGGACCCTGTGACCCTCCCCCCAGCTCAGCCCTGTGCGTGCTGAGACTTCCCGTCATGTGGCTCCGGCCGTGGCCCTTGCCCTTCAGGAGGCTGAGGCGCGAACATCAGGACTCCAAGCCAGCCCGGGCAGGAGAATCTGTGCAACTCTCACTAACCACCCGAACTCCGGAGGAGCAGTGTGGCTCACGTGGTAGAGCGCTGGCCTTGAGCTGAAGAGCTGAGGGACAGCGGCCAGGCCCAGAGTTCAGGCCCACGACTGGAGAGCGGTATGGGTGTGCGGGTCCACTCTGCTCACACCGCCTCCATCAGAGGTGCCACCCCACACACAGACACAAACCCAGCTGCATGACCTGAGGGGATTTCTACAAGGAGGTCTGGAGAGCATGAGCGAGGCGGTCTCTCCACAAGCACACCAGCTTGAAAACACTGGCTGCACCTGCCCAATAAGCCGTGGGCTTCTACCTGTACATCTCCAACGACGGTCTCTAAGCAAAGGGAAAAGAGCCAAACACAGGCAAGTTCTCCCTTGGATTGGTGCACTGCTGGCAAGACTCCTGGAACTCCTCTGCTGTCTCTCCCCATAGCCTCTGGCCGCTAGGGCTCGGGCTCGTTCAGGGGTCAGCAGGGCCTCTCCTGGGCACGCGTCCTGGCTGTCCTGGCTGGCCACGGACAAACCGCCGTGCCTTAAAACGCTTTGTGTCCCCTTCACGGAATCTCCTCTTCTAAAATCCTTCGTTGGTTTTCTGTTATAGTGTATCTGCTGGCTTTGGTTTCCACAAACAAGGATCCAGCCAAAGCCCTGCTCTCCGCCACACTCCCGCGCCCTCCGCAGCCCTCAGCCCTCACAGCCCCTCTGCGTAGGCCAGTCTCAGGGACGCTGGGGCCTGCGGGCCGCGGAGCTGCTGTGGCTTTGGTCTTTGCCCACAACTTCCAAGGCCTACGCCTCACGCCCGGCAAACAATAGGCTCCTGAAGCCATGTGTCCCAGGGCACCCAGCAGAAGTGTGTGTGTGTGTGTGTGCGCGCGCGCGTGTGTGCGACAGGCCTCTTAGGGCCACCCCTGAAGGAGGGACCCTCCCCAGAAGCCACCTGGACTCACCTCACCAGCGTCTGGTTGTGCAGGTCCCACACGGCGATGTTGCCGTCGCTGCAGCAGGAGAAGCAGACCTTGGAGTCGGGGCTGATGGCCAGGGCGTAGCAGGCGGGGGCTGAAGACGTCAGCTCCGCCTTGATGCGTGGGGTTGGAGCCGCCAAGTCCCAGATGGACAGGGTGCTGGCTTCCCCGCCCACAATGAGCGTGCAGCCGTCCGGGAGCAACTTACAGGACCGGATATAGTTATCCCTGTTCTGTGAAATAAACAGAATTCGGTTGCTATAATGCATCACCGAGCAGTAAGCGGGGCGGGCCTCTGACTGAGGCTTGGGTTTTAACTCGGGAGAGGTGTTTCACGGACAGGGTAGGAACTATCAGAGTCCAGGTGCAACTGTGTCCTCCTGAGGGAATGAAGACCCACACCTGTAATCCTCGCTACCCACGGGGCTGAGATCTAGGACCAAAGTTCAAAGCCAGCCCAGGGAGGGAAATCAGTGAGTCTTATCTTCAATTAACCACAACAAATAAAAAAGCTGGAAGTGGAGGTATGGCTCAAGCAGGTGGAGCGCCAGCCTCGGACAGAAGAGGCTAAGGGACAGCACGCCAGCCGAGGCCTAGCATGGACAACAGCAACATGGAGGTGAATGAAACACAGTTGCGGGACTGTTCACAAAGTGGGAAGCTGGTTTCCTGGCATCTAGAGAAGAGGCGTCGGTGTAAGAAATGCAGGGATATATTTTCTAACCACAAACCTCTGCATTCTCCATTATTCACAATTTGGAAGCTGCAGACCCCCTGAATACGTTTTAGTTTTCATTATTCTTGTTATTTTACAGCTGTTTATTGTCTTTAAGTGCTTGTTCAAATGGGTTTCCATCTAACCTATGGGTTTACAGAAACAATGCATCTTGAGCAATGTCAACCCTTTCTTTCATCTCCCCCCCCCTCCCCTCAAGCTATCTGGCTCTCTATTTTCACACAAGCACACTGAAGATTACGGCTGGGACTGCCCACCTTCCCTCGCCCCGCTCACTCCCTCTCCCCCTTGACCTTCTAGTTTCCATTGTTCTTAACACCAAATGCCTAGGTGTTCATTAGTCAGGAAGATTCTTATCTAATCAGTTAGTGGTGTTGCTTTCAAAAGAGGACAGCTGTGTCCTAAGTCTTCTCAAACACCAAATACCAGGTAAAAGAAAGTGCCTGCCATCAATGTCGCCACCTGTGAGGAAAGGGGCAGGGTGGCCTCCCGTGACCTCCCAACGCAAATCCAAAGACGGGATTGCTTCAGCAGCGCCCGTCTCTCAAAGGCCGGGGCACACGGAAGCCCGCAGCGCCTGCTACTGCAGAATATTAAGCTATCGTAAAACGTCGTTTATTCGTTTTTCGTTTTCCATTTTGAGGCAGGGTCTCACTGTGTTGCCCCGCCTAGATTTTAACTGGCAATCCTCAGCCACCCAAGTGGTGGTCCTGGAAGTGTTTATCACCACAGGCAACTTTAAGCTGTCTGACTAAATGACAACAGTCAGAGGCTGAAATCTGGAGAATCGTGGTTTGAATCCGGCCGGCAGAGTCTTTGAGACTCCATCTCTAAAACACCCTGCAAAAAGCTGGGCTGGAGCTAGAGGTGTGGCTCAGGTGAGTGACAGCATCAGAGGTCACAGTACTAAAAGCCCAACAGAACACCAGTCACTGCCCTAAAAACTTTCTCTGAGTCTCAAAAGGCCAGCAATGCAGCTCTTAGAGAAACTGTCCCTGGGGCTGGAACTCGGCTCCAAGCATTGTCCTTAGCTTTGTCGTGCGTGGCTGGTGCGCTACTAGAACCAGAGGTCTACTTCCACCTTCTGAGTGGCTAATTAAAGACGAATTAGAGTCACCAGTCTCACAGCTTTTCCTGCCCAGGCTGGCTTTGAACCATTATCCTCAGATCTCAGTGGTTAGAAATATGAGCATGAGGCCCTCGTGGCCCAGCTTGCCTTTGAACTCCTTTTATCCTTCCAGACAGACTCTGACTTGAAGCGCTGGTGGAAACCCTGAAGTCAACTTCAAGGCCGTGGGAGCACACCCATGTTCTATTCCACAGCTCTGCTACAGATCACAGTGTGCCCGCAGTGTGATCAGAGTAACCGCAGTGTGCCCGCAGTGACCGCAGTGTGCCTGTAGTGTGATTGTAGTGTGTTCACAGTGTGATCACAGTGTGCTCACAGTGTGATCAGAGTAACCGCAGTGTGCCCGCAGTGTGATCACAGTGTGCCCGCAGTGTGCCCACAGTGTGATCACAGTGTGATCAGAGTGACCACAGTGTGCCCGCAGTGTGATCACAGTGTGCCGACAGTGTGCCCACAGTGTGATCAGTGTGATCAGAGTAACCGCAGTGTGCCCGCAGTGACCGCAGTGTGCCTGTAGTGTGATTGTAGTGTGTTCACAGTGTGATCACAGTGTGCTCACAGTGTGATCAGAGTAACCGCAGTGTGCCGGTAGTGTGATCGTAGTGTGTTCACAGTGCGATCACAGTGTGATCAGAGTAACCGCAGTGTGCCCGCAGTGACCGCAGTGTGCCCATAGTGTGATCGCAGTGTGTTCACAGTGTGATCACAGTGTGCCCGCAGTGTGCCCACAGTGTGCCCACAGTGTGACTGCAGTGTGTCCGCAGTGTGACTGCAGTGTGATCACAGTGTGATCAGAGTAACCGCAGTGTGCCCGTAGTGTGATTGCAGCGTGCCTGCAGTGTGATCAGTGTCTACAGTGTGATTGCAGTGTGTCTGCAGTGTGTTCCCGCAGTGTGATCAGTGTGATCGCAGTGTGCCGGCAGTGTGATCGCAGTATACCCGCAGTGTGATCGCAGTGTGTCCGCAGTGTGACTGCAGTGTGCCCGCAGTGATCGCAGCGTGCCTGCAGTGTGATCCTCCCCCGTTAGGCCGTGGCAGTGAATCCCGATGGCCTCCCTGTCTATCACAGACCCTGCACCCAGTGTATTCAGTTCACTATCACCTGAAGGTTGTAGGGAAATGAAGCACGGAATGGATCGTAGGATCGGAGACCAGCCTGGCCGCACTACTCTTCATGCCCCAGGAGAACCCTTCCATAGTGTACGTCTACATAGTAAGATCATTACAAACCACTGTACTACAATGGGGGAAATCCTTCAGCCCTGGGAATCTAACCACTGGCCATGACAACAAATGAGGCCTACTTAGAGGAGAGAGGGTTTGGGCAGGTGGAGGGCGCTGAGCAGTTAACACAGGAAACAGGAAGGGCCTCCATTTCCTCCTAATGAGAACACAACCCAGGCCTGGACGGCCATTTCCTCGCGGGGTCTCCTGCCCCGGTTCGCGCTCGCTCACCAGACAGTCCAGCTGGGACACGGGGCTCTTGTTGCCAGGGTGGCTGATGTCCCAGACCTTGACGCAGCCCTTGCCGCCCGTGTACACGTGCCTCGTGGGGTTACTGATGGTCACGGCGCACACCACCTCCCCGTGGTTGAGCGTGTTGATCTGCCGGGCGTGCCGTGGGATTCCGGGTCCGATGAGGGCGTCGGGGGGGAAGGGGACAGGCTGCATCTGGCCGTCCGCGGTGACGTGGAAGGAGTAGGCACTTGGGGAGAGAGGAGAGAAACCGCATTCATTGTGAGGGGATCAGCCACCACGCTGGCCCTTCTCTAAAGACAAAGGACAGGGTGGCAAAAGTACCCTGGCCTAACTACTAGTACTACTAGTACTACTGGACTAACGTTTTGTTTTGGTGCCAGAGCTGGGGCTTGAACTCAGGGTCTGAATGCTGTCCCTGAGCTTTTCTTGCTATGCACCACTTGAGACACAGCTCTGCTCTGGGGTTTTGGTTGCTGACTGGAAATGAGTCTTGGGACTTTCTGCTCAGGCTGGCTTTAAACTGATTCTCAGATCTCAGCCTCCTGAGTATCTAGGATGACAGGTCTGAGGCACTGGCACTTGGCTGTTTAACTTTAAAAAAAATAAGACTTAAAAATTGGAGCCAGGAACCAGTGGCTCATGCCTATAATCCTAACTACTCGGGAGGCTGAGCTCCGAGGATCATGGTTCAAAGCCATCCCAGACAGGAAAGCCCATTAAACTCTTACCTCCAATAAACTACTTAGAAAAAGCCAGAAGTGGTACTGTTGCTCAACTGGTAGCATATCAGCCTTGAGCACAAAAGAGCTCAGAGACAGTGCCTAAGCCCTGAGTTCAATCCCAGGGCTGGCAAAAAACTGGGCAAGAGGCATGACTCAAGCAGTAGAGCACCTGCCTTGTAAGCCAGGAAGCCCTGAATTTAAGCAGCAGAACTGCCACAAATTAAAAGATTTAAAAGCTGCATGACCTTCTCCATAAATAAAGCATTCTCTCAAATCCCATGATAAAACAGGCTGCTTCCCAATTAACATAAAATACCTGCTTCTGAATGTTTTGTACAGCTGTATGATTTCTTAGTATAATATACAATGATTTTTCAGTGCTTAAGAGAAAGCCCTTAATAATTCCGAATAAGCGCATACCATACATAGTTTATCTCAATACTAACAAACAACAGCTTTTAAAACAGATCAGCTCTTAAAACAGATCAGTTTAAGGCTTATAATTCATACTTGCTTTTTGCATAACTAAGAAAAAATGTTAAATACCAAATGGTTTTGTGACAGAAAAAAAAGCTGTAAGAGGAGAGGTGCGAGGCACACTCAGCCTCCTACCCCAGTTTCCCTGCCTGATCGGTGACCACCCAGGGTAAGTGGAGGCAGAGCAGCCCAGCTGGGAGGTCGTTTCCCAGCCTCGCCCAGGTTCTGACCAATGGACTGCGCCAGCCGCTGGGAAGAGAGAGGCACATGGCAGTTCTATTCTGCTCAATTCTGCCATGAAACCTAAGCGCATCCGAAAGAGTTCACTAAGTATTTTTAAGAAATCAAGGAAAAAGAAAGAGGGTACATCGGAACAACAAGCCAGGTTAGTAACCGGGCTCCCTTCACCCCGCCCAGCCTCAGGTGGCTCCGAGATGGACATCACGTACTGAGGGAAGGAAACAGTTGGAAAGGGGATGCAGGCGCCCTGGAGACACAGTCTCTGATGCCCAGGCTGGCCAGGTGTCTCATGTTATTCAAACTACTGTTCTCTTCCCCCTGAAATACAAGCAAACCTATCCTATTCCTACATTCCTATCTCCTCACTGAAACCCAGTACTTTCCCCCCAATGAATCAAACTGCTATTTAACTTTGAAGAGCTATTATATTATAAGGCACTGGTGGCTCAAGACTATACTCCTAGCTACTCAGGAGGCCGAGATCTGAGGATCAAGGTTCAAAGCCAGACCGGGCAGGAAATTCTGTGAGATTCTTATCTCCAATTAACCAGCACAAAGCCAGAAGCAGAAGTGTGGCTCAAGTGGCAGAGCAATCAGCCTGGAGTGAAAAAAGACAGGGGACAGCCCAGGCCCGGAGTTTAAGCACCAGTACTGATACACACACAGCCGTTAAGACTAGTATATAGAGTGGGCATTATAAAAACAGGTACAACTGGAAGAAGTTAAAAGAAATGCTCATCTTTTTCACTCCACATCCAAATGGCAGAATGATACCCAGGCATGCTAAACCCTACTGCTTTCCTTGTCTTACCCGAGCATCACGAGAGGAGATCTAGAAGTGTAAACCAGAAACGGCAAGTAATACACAGACAATCCCTCCTTTCTCCCAGCCATCTTGGGCAGACCTAGGCTCCTTCTGGGCCTTGGAATGGCTCTTAGGCTCACGTGAATGCCAGGAGTAATAGCCCAGAACTCCCTTTTCACTCCAACACCAAATCAGTGAGCACAAACTGAAAACAGACAAGGTGTCAGGGGTCTACTAGCCTGTACTTAAAATAAACACAGTTTTCTATTTTTCCCTCATAAGAGCCAAATGGGAAATACATAAAGACTTAAAAAAATTCCCTCCTCTTGATGAAATGACTAAAATAGCTTAAACATCTGTTATTTCCTCAAAAATTGGTTCCAATAACTAATGGCAAATGGCTTTTGACCCAAATCTTTAGCATATCTTCATTACTATTACAAGATCAAATATTAATCAATTTGAATAACAGAGCAGAGAAAACAAACTAGGTAGAGTGTTCTAGGTAATAAAAATGGACATAGCTGGGCACTGGTGGCTCACGCCTGTAATCCTAGCTAGTCAAGAGGCTGAGATCTAAGCATCATGGTTTGAAGCTAGCCCAGACAGGAAAGTCTGTGACTCTTAATCTATAATTAATTACCACAATACCAGAAGTGGCATTTTGGCTCAAAGTGGTAGAGCACTAGCCTTGAGCAAAAAAGTGCTCAAGGACAGCGCCCAGGCTCTGAGTTAAAGCCCCATGACTGACCAACAAAAAAAAAGGATATAAAATAGTATGTCTCAAAATCCTAGGGTATGCATTTCCAGACTCGCCCGTAGATATCCAAAGCTGTAAGAAGTATGAGAATCCTACCAACTGCATGGTGTTTAAGTCTATTCCTATTCTCTAAGAATTCTAGAGCTGAGCACCAGTGTTCATGTACGAGACTGCTCAGCCTTGAATGACATCGCTGAAGGACAGTGCCTTAGTTCTGAGTTCAAACCCCAGGACAACAAGAATTCTGGACTTCAAATAAATTCTCACAGGAAAAGATCACGTAGCTGATCAAATGGACTGGAAGAGCACCATGACCTGTCACAGGTCTCCATGAAATGAAACACCCAAGTCGCACGTGTATTTGGCAAGGACCCCAGTCAGGGCCGGTGGAGGGGGGTGGTACAGGCAGGGGGGGGGGGAGCCAGGCTAGGCTGCAGCAGCATCCTCTCTGCGAGCAGTGGCCCAGGCGGCATCTCCAGGTGAAGCCAAGTCCCCACCGCCACCCTTGCGGCCAGCCAGGGTTTTCTGGGGAAAGCTATTTTATCTTGCTTCCACTCCACAGCAGGTTCTCTGGCAGGAACGCGGCTTCTTATGGAGTTAAACGTTCCAGATTGAACTAGACGCAAAGTACAGATAGGAGGATGTCTGCTGGTCTTTGGAAGACAGCCCCCTCTCCCTCCCCACAGGGGTCCTCCTCTCTCAACCGCCCAGGAGACCTTTTGAGTAGCACAGTGAGGTGATTTAAAGTTGATTCGCGCTGCAGGAGCGGCGGTCAGCTCTGTGAGCACCGGCCCCTCCCGGGAGAAGCCCGGTGGATGTGAAACTCCAGTGGAAGGACACACGCGGGGCAGCACAGCAGCAGGGAGAGAGCAGGCCGACGGCGGCACAGCACGACCCCGTCCAACCCAAGAAAAGAGACGACTCCAGGGAAAACCCCCTGCTGGACCCCGTAGGGAGGAGCGTGAGACAGACACTGAGGTTCTCTGCCCGGCTGTGTGTGTGGTCGGGGAGTGGCGGGGAGCGTGAGGTGAATTTCCACCGTTGCTGGACAGTACTGGCATTGAGGAGGCTGAGATCTGAGGATCGCAGTTTGGAGCCCGCTGGGGCATGAAAATCCAATTAACCAGCTAATAGCCAGAATGGGTTCAAGTGGCTCAAGTGGCAGAATGCCAGCCTTGAGGGAAAACGCAAGTAAGAAGAGGAGGCCCCATGCTAAAGCACAGAAAGCACTGCCAGCACCAGCACCGCGGCGGGCATCAGACAAAACCAGGTGCAAAGTGAGGCTGGGGGAGGACTCCCAGGTGGGCCGCACACACGGCGTGGGTTCAAGGCTCCCATCCGCGAGGGCAGGAGGGCCGGGCGCCAGTGGCTCCCCGCTGTCACCCCAGCTCCTCAGGAGGCCGAGATCTGAGGATCACAGTTCAAAGCCAGCCTGGGCAGGAAAGTCTGTCAAATTCTTATCTCCAATGAACCACCAGAAAACCAGAAGCAGCACTGTGGCTCAAAGTGGTACAGCGCTCCCCTTGAGAGAAAAAGCCGAGGGACAGTGCCTAGGCCCTGAGTTCAAGCCCCAGGACCAAGAAAAAATGACGCGTGATTTTCAGATTGCAGCTACCACAGGTACCCGAAAGCACACACACATACAAAAGAAGCTGAATATTCTATTTCTAAGTGTGGCTCAAACCTAAACTCGGAGGTGTGACCGTGCGTGACCGTGCGTGGCCAGGTGTGACCGTGCATGTAGGATGTCACGCACCAGCAGGTTCACCCTGACCCGAGGGGCAGGCTGTGGTCATGCTCGCAGCTGGAGGGGCGCAGGAGGAGCCGCTGGTGTGGCCCAGCTCTGGGCTTTGGGGCAGAGGTGGCAGTCTGGGTGGACGGCAGCTGAGTGGTGCACACAGTGCGTTCACTGCGCTGTACATTTATCCCGACACAAGTTCTAACACTGTGATTTATGTATCTACTTAGTGCCAGTCCTGGGGCTTGAACTCAGGGCTTGGGCTCTGTCCCTCAGCTTCTTTGGCTCAAAGATAGTGATAGTGCTCTACCAATAGTTCACCACTTCTGGCTTTTGGGGGTAAAGTGTTTGGTAGTTTAGTGGAGATAAAAAAAAGTCTCACAGACTTTCCTGGCCAGGCTGGCTTCAAACCATGTCCTCAGATCTCAGCCTCCTGAGTAGCTAGGATGACAGGCGTGAGCTCCTACCGCTTCTGGCCAGCTTC